TTGCCAACTTAAAGAGGGGAATTGTAAAACGATTTCTGTTCCTCACTTTTATCACAGCGTTGCTGAGTGCTGTTGTTCAAGCTGCCTGTAGGAAACAGCAAACACCCCAACTGGAGGGGAAGGGAGAGGGGGTGTGAATTTTTTTGTGCTCTGAAGTTACCCTATTTGAGGAGAGTGTCTCAACAATTTTGTTTCTGATTGTACATATAGTTACCCTACCCTGGGTATTAGAGCTTTTTCTTTCACTTCTTGCCACTGATAAGTGAGAAGACCTCTGGCATCCAGGGTATGCAGTATAGTCATCCTTACTGTACTTCAAAATAAGAACCACACAATCTTTAAAATTCCATGCCTTAACATTTTTCAACCAGGTGACTGTTGTTGGTGGGTTTATCTCGCATTATCTTCTGGAGAAATCTCGTATCTGCAAACAGAGTCATGGAGAAAGGAACTACCATGTATTTTACAGGCTCTGCTCAGGTGCTCCTCAACAGCTAAAATCAAAACTAGGGATCACAAAGGCTGAGGATTTTCTGGTAAGCTTACATCACAGACTGTTTGCTGAAGTGGCAGTGTTTACAAGTTTGCTATTTAGTAAGACCATCTTTTATCAACCCATATGGGACTTATTTTTGCCAAAGACACGTTTTGAAGCTAGTCAAGCTGTTTTCTGGTCACTGTCCGGCTATTAAGAGCTAAAACGTGCCAAAAAGTCATGTGGTGTGCCCGTAGATGGTCCGGCATGCACAGGAAGAAAAACTTTTGAAATCAGTCTTGACATTTTCGTTTTGCTTTCCCTCATCCTTCTTTATTAAAAAAATAAATAATGCTAATTTTATTGTCTGGTTTTTTCTCTTTTGCTGGTATCATTAATTTAATACCCTTCATTTTGGTGAGAAAAGCTTTTGGGGAAGCTTTTAAGATTGTACGATTAGATAGTAGGTAGTCCAACAAGATTTTTCTCGAAACTTTTTGGTTCAAAATCACATGATTTTTGCCTTTTACTCCAGCCTCCTTGACTAAGTCATGTGCATTTTGATATGGTTTGAAAGATCTTTTGCTGCTCCACAAGTTAAGCAACAAAGTTGTCCTTGTCCATTAAAACAGTACTGATGATGTTGCAAGTGATACAAGGGGAAATGAGTGAAGTTGTTTTGGGGTTGCAGTGTGTGTGACAATTTGTTTTTCTTCTGTAGTACCTAAATCGAGGAACCATTAAAGACAAAAATCTTGATGATGCATCAGACTATCGCCGAATGGAGGAATCCATGAACAAAGTTGGTTTCTCGGAAGAAGAAAAAGCTAACATTTTCAAAGTTGNGATGATGCATCAGACTATCGCCGAATGGAGGAATCCATGAACAAAGTTGGTTTCTCGGAAGAAGAAAAAGCTAACATTTTCAAAGTTGTTGCCGCTGTGCTTCATATAGGAAACATTGCTTTTGAAGAAAGTCAAGATAAAGATGGTAACATTAACCTGCATCTATCAAAAACATATTGTCTAACTAGAAAAGCACATGAAATGCACTGAATGCAGTCTCTGCCTGATTACAGGGCTGAGCTCTAACAGAGCCCAGTGGCCACTGGCACCCAACTTTTTCTCTTGGGCAACTAGAAAATCTTACTTTTTTGACACAAATCATATGCTGGACACCCAGTGGACACCCTAGATTTTACATTTTCAGTGCACGGGGCTCTACATTAAATTTTTCTTGAGCACAGCCTTAAAATTAATTCCAAGCACATTGTAGTGCTTTTATTGGAGTATTTTTTAAAAACCAAGTAGATTTAGATCTCTAATAACATGGAACATGATCCATATGCAAAACATTGTCCCTTTTTGGTGTTGCATCTTTTGGGCCTCAGATCATGACATTATAAACCAAATGCAGTGAAGTATGTTGTTGAAAAAAAAAAAAATAGTGGCTTTCGTTTTCTGAGCTGTGCAACTGTAAATGTATCTGAAAAGCAAATGAGAATATAAATTCAACAACTTAATTGTAGCTACTGTATTTGTTATTACAACTGCATGCCCTTATTAGTTTTTATAAATAAGTAAAATTACATTGCTTGTTGGCTCATGTAAACACGTATGTTGTGATGCTATTTCTGTGCAGCTGGCTGTTTTGTTGGAGCAATTGACCAAGAATAATGTGCAAAGAAAGCAACAATATTGTTAGGTGTGGTTCACACGCCATGGTAAAAAGCATTTCCCATGTTAATGAAGCCATGGTAAATTTTAACGTGAGTTTCTTTGATGTAAACATGGATATTTCCTTATTTGTCTCGTGAAAGTCCGGTCACACACACCACGTCAGTTTGCTGCAGTAAAAGGGTTATTTACCACAGTAAAAAGGTTCCGTGTAACTGCACTTACTGGCAAAGCTGCAAGTCAAGCTGAGGATAAGGGAGAAACCTCATTCCCCTGATTTAGTTCAAGGCTTGTTCTGGTAGCATCTCCTTTTTTCTTCACTGGACTTTGATGAAACTGCCAGCTGCACAGAATAGTCGGTACCTGTCACATGAAAGATTAAGGTATATCAGTCAGGTTCATTACTTGTACTGTCAGCTAATGCTATTTAATAATTCTTGTATTTTAAGGTGGTTCAGCTATGTCATCAAAGAGCACCAATTCACTGCATACTGCCGCTCAGTTACTGGATGTGTCTCCAGAAGAGCTGAAGATGTCGTTAACGACAAGAATGATGTCAGCTGGAGGGTCTGACATGAGGTCTGAGCAACAACAGCGTCATCAAATATTGTGCTGTATCATTCCAGTGGCTTTAATAATGGCTTTATTATTGCTGACCACTAAACATAATTGAATAAACTGATCTAACCACTAATCAAGGCAAAAATCTTCATTTATTCATGTAACTTACGCTAATCAGTATCACTATGAAGCATTACATTATTATCATAATTAGCTGTTTAAATTTAAAGGTAAAGGTGATGATGAGGTAATTTATAACAGGTTGGTAAAGAGTGTGCAACATTTTTTTGTGCAATATTAATGCTAACAGTAGTTAGTTAATACATTCTGTGAACAAAAATTTAATAAGTGAGGTAATTCTTTAACATTGCTTCAAATTAAACTCTTAATCTCATTCATTTTTCTCCTTAAAATATCGGTACATCATCAAAAATGAAGTCAGAATTAAGATTGTAATAACCCAAAATGAATTCGTTGTTTGTGCAACGTTTCATATTTTCTTTTCTAAAAATATGTGTTGATGGGAGATGAGATATTGTGGTTAAAAGAGTAACGAGATAAACCATTGAAAACTCACAAATGGTTCCTGCAATTGAGCTTGTTATAATAACAGAGTTTCTAGACATCACAGTATCTAAAACATCTTTGATCTTGCCAGAACGGTTAATATTACCACGACAGTTGTAGACATGTCAGTAGACGTAGTCTGGTTAGTCCCATAGTAACAGTAGTGTTAAATACTTCAATGAGCGCATTTTAATGTGATTGCTTGAAGGTGACAAGTGAGGGTTTCTCTTCTGTTGTCTTTTCACAGGGTGCCACTGAAGCCAGAACAGGCCAGCGCTGCAAGAGATGCGTTGGGCAAAGCGCTTTACACCAAACTGTTCGATCATATTGTCGCGCAGGTCAATCAGTGCTTCCCATTTGAAAGTTCTTCCACTTACATTGGCGTGCTGGATATTGCTGGCTTTGGTGAGTCTACGGCAAAGGAGTGTCAAACTTGTGCCAAGTTGGGGGAAGGGGGGAAGGGGAGGGGAGCTCCAGACCTCCCACCTCCCACCTGATCCCTTACATTGCATTTCCGGCTCCTTCCCCTTTTTTCATGGCCTCCTCCCTTTAACCCTTTTTCGATTTCAAAATATTAAGCTTTTTTGCATAATTTCTCCCGCTTCCCACCCTTTCAGTACCTTTCCCTCCCACTCTTTCCTCTCCCATTTGCCTTACCCCTCCCTCCCTATTCTTCCAGAATCCAACACCCCTAACGTCCCCCACAAACTAAATTGCCTGAGAAAACCTTGAGGAATATACATGTACATACTGTTCAGTAAAGAAAACGAAAGTATTCAACTCAAGGTGACTGTTTTGGCTCCTGCAAGGTTGTAGCAGCTCATAGTGACATGACCAAGGGTCTCACTGGCTAATTATTATTCCGAAGAATTGACTTTCCTCTTTACAGTACTCGTTGTTATGGCTTCTATATTTTTGAGGGAGCAAAGTTGTCATCGCGGGTAACAATTCATTCCCGTTTCTGCTTTACTCTTGAATTGCATGTGTCTCATTACATATTTTTATTTTTTTTGTTTTTTGACAGAATATTATGAATTCAACAGTTTTGAACAGTTTTGCATCAATTACTGCAATGAAAAGCTTCAACAGTTATTTAATGACAGGATTCTTAAACAAGTAAGTACATGGAGCGCTTTGACCTCACCTCGATATTTGTGGAAGATCCTTTAATAGGCAGCTGCTACTAGCCACTGTTAATCGTGTCCCCTCAACCCCACCCTTCCCTGGAGCGACCTTATGGCACTGAGGGACGGGGTTAGCCAGTGTTTTGTTTTGTCCCGTTTATTGGCTACTGAGCCACCATTTTTAATTAATATCATGGCTTTGTTTTGCTAGGGACTAAACCGTTTGCTATGGTGGGAAACTTCTCATACTCAATGTTCCTCGCTCAGTGCCACATTTTGTGAACTCCCCTCTTGATACTTTTTTGGTGGTCATCCAACTGCCAGAAGGTCAGCTCTGACGGTTTAGTACCAAGCATTAGAGAGCTTTAGATTTGAAGACGAGAACGACTACGACTACGAGTACGAAATCTGACTTATTCTTAAAAAATAGACACCCCGGAAGGCTTCATTGCACTTTTTTTCATTAGAAAAGATAGTACTGTTATCTATATTGAAGGAGGTTAAGTAGCCTCTCTATCGCAAAATTAAAAAACTTTTACAATTTGATATAAACTCGTTTCCGCCATTACGACATGTTTGCTAAATAAAACCTCGTACTAGAGTGACGACGGCTACCACGTTTTCCCGCCAAAATGACGCTGGTTCACGCGCGAGCACCACTTAGGATTGAGGAAATCTCTTCCTCGTAGTCGTAGCCTGTGTACAGACGTCCCCTCCTCCCTCAGGAAAAAATGGGGAGAGGGCTCCCGATTTTTTCCTGAGGGAGGAGGGGACGTCTGTACACAGGCTACGTAGTCGTACTCGTCTTAGAATCTAAAGGTCTCTAATATTAACAAACTGTAATCTCTAAAGATCAAATGAAAATTATTTTTGCACAAATATTAGGAACAAGAGTTGTACGACAGAGAAGGTCTGGGAGTGAAGACTGTGACGTACATGGATAATCAAGATTGTATAGGTAAGCATCTACCAAGTGCGTCTTTTTGTCATGAGAAGAATGAGGGAAAAGAAATGAATCAGTTTCGATATTTTGTATGATCTTGAATTTATTTTTTTGTGAACCAAACCAAAGCAAACAGAAGGCCGAAGAATGAAAGGTCCGTGTGAAACGTCAAGCAACTGCTTTGCCGAACTTAATTCATGTATTATAAATGAATTAAACTAAGAAGAAAACATTTTAAAAGTTGATTCAACCGGTTTTTATCTCTATTCTTTGTTTTCGACAAAATGTTCTCAATTCGACTGAGTTAAATTCGATATCTGAATTTAAGTCGTGCTACAGTCGAGCCAACTTAGTGTGGCAGTAGCACGATATTGGAAACTAACAACTGGGTTAATAAAATCAATTTACCATGGTCATTCAAAACTGAGCCCAAAAGCTGACGTTACAAGCGCTATACCTTCATCCGAGTCTATCAAGGGAATGTTTGGTACATTTTCTTGATTCACTCGGACGAAAGTCTATCGCATGTAACGCCAGCTTTTTGGTCTCGGATTTGACGATGGTAAATTGACTTTTCAACTCGAACTGGAAAAAAGCCCATCTAATTCGTTTAGCCACTGATAAACGTCATATTCACGTCGCCTCTACAAAACGTAAAATTAGGCATTTGCGCGTCGTTGTCGTGCAGTGATGGTAAAGAAATGTACAAAAAAGGGTGATGCACGTGCAGAGTTGTTGTTTCTCAGTCCAAAATAAACTCGAAAACCAATTTCTTTTTTACCGTTCTCATTGACGTCGCCGTCGTCGTTGATTTAGCGCCCTATAACTGCTCAGAAGCAGCCGTTTTTGACTCGTCACGAAACAACGCTCCTCAGGAGCGTTGTGCTACGAAACAAAAACAGTTGCGTGTGAGACTAGCGGTGGTCGGGTTCCATGGGTTTGTCGGTAGCAGTAAAAGCACAAGGGGAGCGGAGGGAAATGTTAAAAAAAACGAAGAACCTTTCAGAAAAAAACAGAACGGGAAGGCAGCAATTACTGGATGATACGTCTTGTACATGTTTTCAATATCAATATATTGGATATTTTAGATCTGATTGAGGCTAAAAAGACAGGAATTATCGACATTTTGGACGAGGAGAGCAAACTTCCTAAACCAACAGCAGAGCATTTCACACGAGAGCTTCATCAGAAACACAAGAATCACTTCAGGCTGGCGGTAGGTGAAATTCTGTTGCTAGTGATATCAACATGTTTTGTCTTTTTTGGTATTCATTTTTTTTATTTGAACATTTTGTGTATCTTCTATTCTACCCAGTTTACTCTTTCACTTCCAGAAGTGGCTTAAAGGCAACATTTAACAGTTCCAAATTTCTTTTGTTAAATTGCCAAAAAACAGATAGTACCATATGAAAGTAATGCTGAAAAGGTTTCAATTGAATGGTAACACCGCAGGGTCTACAGAATCAGAAGTTAGAACTACTTGCCAAATAACTTGTGTCTTGTGAAAGTACTTCTGAAGAGAATTCATTTAAATAGTAACACCATAAGATTTCATCCACAGACTCGGAAGTTAGAACTACATACTAAATAAATAGTACAATGTGAAACTACTGCTCAAGAGAATTCATTTGAATAGTAACACCACAAGATTTCATCCACAGACAAGGAGGTTACAATTACGTACTTATTAAATAGTACCATGTGCAAGTACTGCTGAAGATGTTTCATTTGAATGTAGGATTTCGCCCTAGCACGAAACATTAATAGAAAAATTAGCGTCCTTTTTTTTCCCAAACACGATGCTATAATCGAGTGACTGAGCATATCTGCACGAGTCCACTTAGCATACGTCATATGTCAGTCTTATTGACCAGCTGAACTTGTTTCTTTATGTTAAGATTCCCAGGAAGTCTCATCTAATGTACCACAAGAAAATGAGAGATGATGAAGGATTTCTTATCAGACATTTCGCTGGAGCTGTTTGTTATAACACGGTAAGTAAACCTTGATGGAACTCTTCGAGTAAACTTCAACTTACAGATGACTTTCATATCAAAGATGACTGACTTTTTCTCAGTTTTAAACAACTTTCCATGTATCAGCTAAGATGTTACGAAACTTATAACACAACGACGGCGACGGTAGCGAAAACTTTACCGATAAGTGAACTTGCGTTTTTACGAACTTCATCTTGATAATTCATACTCACCCAACAACTAGTCAAGAACACCTGTTGACAATTTGTCAGAGTCAAAGCCAGTGAAGACGTCAGGGAGCTTAAGCAACGGCAACGAGAACGACAAAAAAGGAATGTGTTTAGATTGGCAAAAAAAACAACAACAACAACAGCTTTGCACGTACATCATTCTTTTTTGTACATTTCCTTGCCCTCATTGCACAACTACGACGTAAAACTTACTGGAACACATGACAACGATTTTCTTTTTCTTTTTGTGAACTTAGGTGCGGTCCTTTATAATTCAACTCCTGAAGAAAATCGCAAACATTTGACGAATGAAAAGAGTTGCAACAACAGCGATGAACTTTGAAGCAGCGCTATTTCACTTTTTTGGTGACGTTTTCGCTGCCGTTGGCGTCGTCTTTGCTTAAGCTCTCTATTAGAGACCTTTAGACTCGAGGACGATATTTTTTCCCGTATTCTCATTCTCAAAAAATAGACACCCCTGAAAGCTTCATAAAACTTTTAAGACGGAATCCACCAGGACATTGAGCAGTTTTGATTTTCAGTGGACAAAAATCTTATACCAGAATAATTGCTGCGGAGCGACCGAAGGGAGCGAGCAGCAACATAATCAGGATTTAAAGGAAATATATAAGGGGCGACGAATTCTCGAATTCATCACTTTTTACCACAATGCATTGCATTTAACCACACTTTTTACCACAATGCATTGCATTTAACCAGAGTGCATTGCGCCACGAATAACTCAAATAAAAACACGGGGAAGTAGTGCATCGTTCGCTGCTCAGTTCTACAGCACGGTTAGAGGTCTTACCAAATTTTAAGACACGGTTAACTTGGGGAGTGGATTTCAGTTCAAGAGCCGTTGACTCGTCCAGGTGTTAAACCTGACGAGAAGATGAGCATTTGCTCTTCGACTCCGCAACACGGGGGATAAACAAATTCCAGCTTGCTAGAAGNTTTATTCTTTCACTTCCAGAAGTGGCCTAAAGTCAACATTTAACAGTTCCAAATTTCTTTTGTTAAATTGCCAAAAAACAGATAGTACCATGTGAAAGTACTGCTGAAAAGGTTTCATTTGAATGGTAACACCGCAGGGTCTACAGAATCAGAAGTTAGAACTACTTGCCAAATAAATAGTATCTTATGAAAGTACTGCTGAAGATAATTCATTTGAGTTGTAACACCATGAGATTTCATTCACAGACTCGGAAGTTAGAATTACATACTTATTAAATAGTACCATGTGAAAGTACTGCTGAAGATATTTCATTTGAATGGTCACACTGTAGGATTTCGCCCTAACACGAAACATTAAAAGAAAAATTAGAGTCCTTCCTGTTCCCGAACACGATGCTATAATCGAGTGACTGAGCATATCTGCAAGAGTCCACTTATCATACGTCATATATCAGTTTTATTGACCAGCTGAACTTGTTTCTTTGTGTTAAGATTCCCAGGAAGTCTCATCTAATGTACCACAAGAAAATGAGAGATGATGAAGGATTTCTGATCAGACATTTCGCTGGAGCTGTTTGTTATAACACGGTAAGTAAACCCTGATGGAACTCTTGGAATAAACGTCAACTTACAGATGACTGGCTTTTTCTCAGTTTTAAACAACTTTCCATGTATCAGCTAAGATGTTACGAAACTTATAACACAATTGCCGATAAGTGAACTTGCGTTTTTTCGAACTTCATCCTGTTAATTCATACTCACCTAACAACCAGTCAAGAACACTTGTGACAATTTGTCAGAGTCAAAGCCAGTAAAGACTTCAGGGAGCTTAAGCAACGTTAACGAGAACGGCAAAAAAGCAATATGTTTAGATTGGCCAAAAAAAAAACAACAACAACAGCTTTGCACGTACGTCATTCTTTTTTGTACATTTCTTTGCCGTCATTGCACAACTACGACGTAAAACTTACGGGAACACATGACAACGATTTTCTTTTTCTTTTTGTGAACTTAGGTGCGGTCCTTTAGAATTCAACTCCCGAAGAAAATCGCAAACATTTGACAAATGAAAAGAGTTGCAACAACAGCGATGAAGTTTGAAGCAGCGCTACTTCACCTTTTGGGTGACGTTTTCGCTGCCGTTGGCGTCGTCTTTGCTTACGCTCTCTATTAGAGACCTTTAGACTCGAGGACGATATTCTTTCCCGTATTCTCATTCTCAAAAAATAGACACCCCGGATAGCTTCACTGATAAAACTTTTAAGACACAATCCACCAGGACATTGAGCAGTTTTGATTTTCAGTGGACAAAAATCTTATACCAGAATAATTTAAAGCATATTGCATACAAGGTACAAGGTTTTTGTCCACTGAAAATTAAAATTACTCAATTTCCTGGTGGATTCCGCCTTAACATTTCATAACTTGTTTCCGCCACTACGACCTTCTCGCTTAACCACGGTTATCACGTTTTCCCGTCAAAATGACAGGCGCCGGTTTACGCGCGCGCCTACTTAGTAGGGAGCTAAGGCAACAAGGACGGCGACGGCTAAGAAATCGTCACTTAAAAAGTGAATTCGCGCTGCCTCAAACTGTATCACACTTATTCCATCTCGTTTAATTCGGCAAATGTTGGCAAATTGTTTTGGACGGTTGTGTTCTAAGGGACTGTATCAAAGATCAGGAAAAGGAAAAGAAAGTCGCTGTCTTGTGTTCCCGTCCTCGACGGCAAAGGAATGTACAATAAAGCGTGATGCACTTGCAAAGTTGCTGTTTTGCTAATATAAACGCATTTCTCTTTTGGCATTCTCGTTGCCGTCGCCGTCGTCGTTGCTTAAGCTCCTAAGTATT